ACCCCCCCCCCCTTAGGGAATGGCCTAAAGACTAAATGAGCGAATGAAAAAAATCTCTAGTGTACACTATAAATTATAGGCCTACATGTATTACTACTCTCTAGAGAGACAAATATTGAACCAGTCAATCTCTCAACTTTTTAAAGAGCCAAAATGAACTCTTCAAAAATAACAACCTAAAGACAACACATTACACCGTCAACCTCTCTCTATCACATCATGAACTGTGTGCCTTCAAAAAAAACCCCCACACAATTCACAAAACAAAAATTACGAAAGAGGAACTCCGTAATTGGAAAAAATATCACATGTTTATTTATGTTTAAAACGGGCATCATCAAACGTTGTACACATTCAGAATAGGAATTTATGTAAAATCAGAGCAAAACGATCATGATCTTTTTACAGCTGCGATTGCCTCTCGTCAGTCACCATAATTTGTCTACAGCAAGCTTCTGAACACACACATATCCACTCCCGATTCTTGCAGACGAAATATAAACAGCAACGGATGGAAAAAATAGGCGCATTAAAAATTGATGGCATAAAAATGTCAGCATAAAAGACCTCAGAGAGTGGACAATTTTTTTCCCGGACAAGTACTGAGGTTGAATTAATGATTATGTGTTATGAATAACATTATGTTCAGTGTATGATGGTCTAGCATATTTGTAAAGGACCAAGACCAGAGGGAAAAAACCCATTAAATAATAAATCTATTCCTATCCCCCCCAACTACCATCTTCTTACCCTCCCCCCCTCCTCCTCTCCCCTTCCTCATCTTCCTAAACCTCCCTAGAAAAATGGGAGGAAAAACAATAACAATTTTATGCTCAGATTGTTATGGAAGAAAATAATATAATCAAAGAAAAAAATAAAACAAAAGTTTATCAACATTGGAACATCGAGGTGACCATTCCAACGGTATAGTATTCACTTTTTGGAGCTTTTTTGTGTGTGTTGGTAAGTGGTTTAGAGCGCTCACAACTGCATATGGCCATAGGAGCAAGCACATTCAGTTTGGTAGGAATTAATTGGGAATTTGCCCGGATGGCAGCCGCAGCCTACTCCTTTGGGAGATCATCACTCAAATGAACAAATGAAACCTCCCAACATCTCAGGCCTGGCATACATTATATTAAAAACGAAGATCAAAAAAGATTTCTACGGGTTCAATAATTTATGTGACGATTTAGGCTGAAATGATGCAAATAAAACACAACTGGTATTGTAGTTTGCTACTGGACACTATTGATCTGCTTATAACGTCATGCAGAATGAAACTGAAAAACGAATATTGAACACTGGTATGATTTCTGAAATAAATCTAATTAAAATGTATTATGTTTTTTTAAGCTGTCTACGAAGAACAATATAATTATAATGTTGTTACCTATCCTTAGAGGAAATATTAAAGTGTTCCCTCAAAAATATATCTTGTCTCTTTTATTCTTTCTACTTGTCGCTCTCTGTCTCTCCCTCCCCCCTCACTCTTTCAAACCTCACACCAACCCCCAATGCACACACGAACACACTCACACACAAGCACACACTCCTCTCTCTCTCTCTCTCTCTCTTTCTCCTTCC